TTTCACGAATAGGTCGGACAATGTCCGTGATTGTCCAGATAGTGAATTTTTCAAGTTTTCTTAAATTGGTCATTGATTTACCGGATTAAACTTCAGTTCATAAAAAATAAAGTTGCCTTTTTATTCAGTTGTGCATATGGCATCCATAATACGTACTTTTATCACACTTTTCAGGCAAAGTACAGCGGTTGAAAAAATCACAACAATATCCGGTGGTATACCACCGACGCCAAAAGAAAAAAAAAATTTTGTTTGCATTCGAAATTGATCGGGCTCGTGCATGGCCGACATAACTTTTTATATTGTGTCTATATATTTACACTGTCATTGACATTGTTTCTGTAATCACAGTAGGCATTTTGCACAGCCACAGGCAAAATTCTACGTTTTGAAGGATTTGTAAGAACTCTTTGAGGGAACTGACTCGATTGTTTAACACTGGGACCGTTCCCCCAAACATTTCTTACAAATCCTTCGAAAAATTTCTACTATGTGTATGATCACAGTGGAACTTTAATAGTGTATACAAGCCAGCATTTACATCCTGTGTCATGACATAGCGCCATGGGGGTCTGATTTTTTTCGCTTCCGCAAAATCCGGTATACTAGAACGAACATCTGGTCCGCGCTGACTAAATGCTAACTGCAAATAATGAAGAAGTAACATTTCCATTCGCGCAACACAACCAGCCATCCTCGCATGCATCAAATTTATATACACAATTACATTTCGCTGTATTTCACCGAAAAAAGAATGCGCGGAATCTCGTATGGAATAATGATTAATAACGGCTCTTTACGTAGGCACAGCTTTATGTCTTTTATTTGTCGAGCGAAATTTAATAATTCTAATACGCTTATGCATTATGTATTGTACGAGATTGTACAAGATTCTTAAATATAAATTAGACACACTATATTACAATTACTGTCGGTACAGACCAACGACATCAAAACACAATTCGTAAAAACGTCTAGAGATAAAACACTGTCTTGTTAGCCATCTACCGACTCTTGTTTGTGATAAATTAAACTGTTTATGATAAATCTTCCACATGAGACTACGAAATCGAACGGAAATCTGATCGTTTCCGTTTGGTTAACGTTTGTTCATAGCGACATAGGCATAGCGTCCCGTGTTTACGCCTCCAAACCATGAATTCGCTTACGAATTCCTTGCAGAGCCAGAGGGCTTGAACTAATATTTGAACTGTTTGACTACAGTCGCAAATTCATCTTGACAGTTTTAATCTTTTTGTGTGAACATAAATATTTCTGTACAATCACACACAAATAGTATTGCAGTCCTTCAAATACGCGATGTTTCAAACGTTCTGTCGTTAGATAAAGCCTGATACTGTCAGGTTATATCAAACGCGAACACTGTCAACTGCAGTTCAGACTGCCACACTGCTGGCTTTAGCCAGGATGCCTATCGCTGCACTCTAATATATTTCAATGACATATTTACTGGTCCGTGGCGTTGTCAGGCGCATACGGCTTGCCAAAAACTGCGTTTTGTGCTTCGGTCGCAAGCTTTCTATACATTCGTTCCTTGATGTACTTTTTATTCTCCGTTTCGATTCTGGGCGCGAGTTTCATCAACGTATGTGCACGCCGTTGTGAATTCGGCGAAGACCGATGCAACATGTCGGATACAAAATGCTTCAATATTTCTGTTTCTTGTGTGGCCTTGAGCTCGCAGACTGAGTTCAAATGGACGTAGAACTCTTGCGGTTCATCTTCGCGTTTCCTAAACGTAGCGAACGCCATCTGATGCAGTTTTGTATAAACTATGTGAACTTGACCCAAGCAGCACGACAATTTGCGACAATTTTGGTTCTAAACTGATTGCAGTTTGCTTTTTATTAACGAGTCACAATAGACAAACTATGGAGTATGAACTGGATCCATGTTCCTGGACTCGGGGCGGGCAATTAATTCAGATGAATTTAAAAGTCGCTATCATATTCGCGATCGATTCGTTGAGTTTAAAATGGTTTAATTCAATTCGTTTCAAACGACAAATTTAACTCAAGCGAATTCATTTTATGATTAGCGATCATAGATTACATGGAAATTGAAACAACGGAATCAGAAACAAACGTTAACATCTAGCTGATTTATGCATTTAAGTGATTAAGTCATTAAGACTCGATACGACGACGTAGTCAGTGAAACGAAGCCACGCTAACAGCCAGTGAAATGGCCGTATTTATATTAGAAGACGTCTTAAACGTCTGGACGAATTAAACGTCTTGTGTTAAGTGCGACTAATATAAATACGAGATGAACAGTTGGAAACCAGTATACAATAAAACCAAGAGGATATAAAATGTAGTAATTTGACAACCTTCTGCAGTGTTTCCCTGCTAAGGCCAATGGAACTGTAGATTCTGTTTACCGTCCACCGCCCGCATGTGCTTGCAACTACGGCAATAATTTTTCATTATTAATTATTTTCATTGTTTATCATTATTTTTAATTTTATGCATCGAAACTTTCAAATATACATCAAATCTTCGATATAGAAAGCTGTACATCACTGATGTTGATGGATCAGTCGGCATTTGTTGGGTACACTTGGAAATTCGCGAGTCTGAGTCCGTCTGACATGTGCAAATTCCAAAACAATGGCTTGACAAAGAAATTTTCAGCAAAGGAAACTGGCCAAAAATGATAAAAGAATGCTGGACAAAAGAGTTGATTGTCGAGATCAAAAGAAAACTATTTGGGGATCATTTTTGGTCGGAAAATAGATAATAACAAAAATAATGAAAAATGAATAATGAAAAAAAACCGCATCACATTTTTTAATTTCTCGGACGGTAAACAGAATCTACAGTTCCATTGGCCTAAGCTAGTGCGTCCAAGTTTAGTCGTCTCGTATTTATACTAGACGAATTAAACGTCTAAGACGTTGCGTCGTTTGGACGCACTTAACAGACGACCTTAATTTTTTATTCGTCTATCTAATTTACCGTATTTGTATTAGACGACTTTAACGTCTCAGACGGTTAAGTCGTCTCAGACGTTAAAGCCGTCTTCTAATATAAATGGTGATCGCTAGATAGTATACTTCAAAATAAGGTTTCCGTTTTTATAACGTAGGAAAAACTATCCTAACGCAAAACTAAACCCTAATACTAACCCCAACCTAACCCCTAACCTAACCCCTAACCTAACCCTACCTTATTTTAAACCTAAATTGATATAAAAATGGAAACCTTATTTTGAAGTATACTATCTAGCAAGTGCCTAATATAATAAATACGGCCATTGTATCCGTCTGACCATGACGAATATATAAAACGTCTTGGACGGATTTTTATCCACCCGATGCACTATCGTCGCATTTAATTCGTTCAATTGACGAACTGCGATGAAACTGACGCATGCTACGCGGATGAAAGAGACCTGAACGTTTCCGTTAGCTCTCCCCGCTATAATTTTTTTTTTGTATGTTTAACTATGCCTATGTTATGCGCGCAGGCTACCGCTCCCCCATTCAATGTTGTTCCGGTCAGAGTATTCACGTTGTGTCAGATTTGCAACTATTTTTGTCTCGTTAGCAATTGCAAAACAAACATTGAGCAAGATATTAGGAGGAAAACGTCGTTCTACGATTCAGTTCGACCAAGATTATAGTCCGGCCGCCAATTTGTTGGCGAAGTCGTCGCGAAAATATCAACTTGGCTGCGTGTCTTAGCCTGGGAATATTCTTTCCGAAAAGGAAAATTAATGTATATGACGCACAATACCTAGTTAAGACACGGTTAAGATCCTCGTTAACGCACTAAAGATCTTGAATCATTGATGATATTTACTACACTTATACATGGGCCCGGATTTATTCCTAACCGAGGCCGAAACGGCTGCCAGTCCGCCCTGTCCGGGAGGGGGTCCAGAGATATGCTGCCCCGGAGAAATTTTGAATTTGAATTCAGTTATGTATCAGGGGCCGGTTGTACGAAGGTCGGATAGTGCTATCCACCGGATAGTGATTTTTTCAACCTTTATAAAATGATTGAAAAACCTGCGAAACTACGGTTATAGACGACACAAGAAGTATAAAAAACATTTAATTTATCAATGCTAAACTTTAATACGAGTTATACCAACCAACGACTAATTTAACAAAGCTTGGAAAAATCACTATCCGGTGGATAGCGCTATCCGGCCTTCGTACAACCGGCCCCAGATCAATATTTGTTAAAAAAACTAAGGCCTGTTTTCTGATACGTCCAATTTCGGTCGTGTCGAATGCAATTCAAACAACGCTGTGGAGGAAGCTTAATGAGATTTATCATCTCAATATCTATTGTCTTAATTGCATTCGACGCGAATTACGGTCGCGTCGAATGCAATTAAAACAGTACGGATAATGAAGCTTAATGAGGTTTATCATCTCATCTATTACTAATTGCATTCGACGCGACCAAAATTCGACGTATAAAGAGGGCCTAAGATTTCAACACCAAGCCATAATGAGTTAAAAAGTTAATAAGTTGGATGTTATCAGATTTACATGTACTATTTAAAGCACGCGTAGGAGTGTTTTATCAGATATAAAACGCGAGGCGCAGCCGAGCGTTTTATATCTGATGAAACACGACTACAAGTGCTTTAAATGGCTTAAAAAGCGACTCATCTTATATGAGTTCATTGGCGAAGAAATTTTTAAAATAAACTTTGTCTAAACCGAGAAAATCAAAGCTAAAGTTTATGTAAATTAACATGATTTTTTATCACATATAAAGATACGACACGCTTATGATT